TGAGAGGGAGAAGCGGCGAACCCTCTATTAAGAAACAATTGGTTGGATATGGTTCTCCATATCCTTTCATGGCGATTGTTAGGAACGAACTCAAAATCGTCATGATTCTCGCGTCGAAGTCGAATTAATTCTCTTGCAGCGTCAATGGTCCATTCGAATGAAGCAACAACAGGAGGAGCCAAAGCCATTACAATAGAAATAAAAAAAAGGAGGAAGACGAAATAGGCGGGATCGAGAAATAAAAAAAAAATGAAATAAACGGGGATCGAGAAATAAAAAGAGAGGAGGAGAAAATGAAATAAACGGGATCGAGAAATAAAAAAAAAAAAAAAGAACAAAATAAACGAGATCGAGAAATAAAAGAAAAAAAAGAGGAAAACGGAATAGACAGGATTGAGAAATAAAAAAAAAAGAACGAAATAAACGATATCGAGAAATAAAAAAAAAAAAAAAGAACGAAATAAATGAGATCGAGAAATAAAAAAAAAAGAGGAGAACGGAATAGACGGGATCGAGAAATAAAAAAAAAATGAAATAAACGGGGATCGAGAAATAAAAAGATAGGAGGAGAAAACGAAATAAATGGGATCGAGAAATAAAAAAAAAGAAAAGAATGAAATAAACGAGATCGATAAATAAAAAAAAGAGAGAACGGAATAGACAGGATCGAGAAATAAAAAAAAAATAAAAAAACGAAATAAACGAGATCGAGAAATAAAAAAAAGAAAAGAGGATAACAGAATAGACGGGATCGAGAAATAAAAAAAAATAAAAAAACGAAATAAATGGCAATTGAGAAATTGACATGAAATAAAAAGTCTGAAAAAAAAAGAAAAAAAAAACGAATTAGAAATGACGATCGAAAAAATAGATGGAATAAAAAAACGAAATATTAAAAAGAAAAAAGAAAAAGAAAAAAAAACGAATTAGAAATGGCGATCGAAAAAATAGGTGGAATAAAAAAATCGAAAAATAAAAGAGAGAGAGAGAGAGAGAGAGAAAGAAAAAAACGAATTTAAAAAAGAAAAATGAATTAAAAGAATTGAAATAACAGATAA